TAAAACTTACCTTTCATGAAGAGACCGTTCTGAAAATACGGAATAATAACAGAAATCAAAAATATCATGAAGACCTCTTCCTACGCGTATTATTGCGTCACATGAACAAGTAAAAAAGTCTGGAGTAAATACTGAACAGGAGAAAAAGAGCATACTGGATCAACTATGGGGAGTCAATCTGATGCTCAGAACCCTCTGTAATTCAATTGTCCTTTCAGCATTCTATCATATACTAAGAAGGGTCTAGCACTGCTTTTTTGACCATCTGCAGGACGCCTAAGCATAGCCTTTTGAGATTTTCTCGAAGCACAATGTCTAGGTGACGGTTCACGGAAGAAAATCGTAATGAATATCACTATCAGACGCGCAGTCGCTGAAAAAGAGCATGATCTTGGCTTTAGTTAAGGGTTGGTTTAAGTAACATAGCACTCATTCATAATGGTAGCTACGATGACGTAAAATCGGAATGTTGATGCATTCTCAGAATGAAGCGAAGCCGTTAATGTACCTATCCTATAGAAACGTTTATGTGCTTGAAATAGATTTACCTGATTGATAAGACAACAGAGCTCAAGCAGATTCGGTTTTATTGCTCGCACGAAAGGGATTAGAGCAACAATTACTATACGTCGGTCTCTACATCATTTGATATTTATTGTAACGCATTCCCATTAGCCCGTGTTTTCTTGTGTTGCATTTTCAACCCGATCTTATGTGGACATAACATCATTTCTAGGCTCTCGTATACAAATTTTGCAACTTTATCTACTCACGCTAGAAAAATAATAATGAATTTGTGAAGAATGAAGAGGTCTTTCACGTTTGTGTAGTTCTTTTAGTTCTTTCTGTTTCCTCAGAAATGGTTTGGTACAACAATCTGATATTGGTGATAATTTCACGTCAGTTTAGTATGAATGCGTATATGATTCTATATTCAAAATCCTGAATACTTTTTCAGCTTTTGATTTTGGTTAGTATTGTCCTATGCAATGTCGCAATATTTTTACAATATGTCGTCAAAGATTTAGTGCGAGATGGTCCGATATTCAAAGGAGTAAACGAATTTTTTGGGGAAGCTTTCAAATCTTATTTGATCAGGGCCTGGCACCAGCTGGCACGGGGCAAGCTGGATATCGTTTTTGGGGCAAGAAGCAAAGGGGGTTTCGTTTTTGTGGGCGAAGACACGTCAAAAATTGGCGACCTTTTTTTTAGTCGATGTTTCGTTTTAGGAGGGATTTTTGGGGATTTTTCAGGTTTTTAGAGGGGATATCGTTGAGGGTCAAAGGGGACTTCGTAAAATTTTGGAAAAGTCAAAGGGGAATTCGTTTTGAAAATTTCCTGGTGCCAGCTCGTGCCGAGCCCTGTATTTGATAGTAGGGCTTGGCAAACCAAAGGCAGCAGTCCTTGAAGTAGACTTTGCTTTAACAAACAAAATGTGCATCTCATATTGCAGATCTCTGGTATAGCAGAGCATTTGATTAGGCAGTGCGTTTGCTTTTATGAAATTGAGAAAGAATAACATTCGCTGTTGTCAAGGAACCTCTTCATAGGAAATGATGTTTGTCGATTTTTAATCAGCCACCTCTTCGTGTGTTAGCGAAGAACCTCTTATTCGAAATTTCTTTCAATTGTTTGCTTTGCGATGTTTACTTCACTAGAAGTTTTGGTGCAACAAACAATCCTTTGTTCATTTATCTTGGACAATAGTTGAAAAATTTGACCTTCCATTTGCATTCAGGGACTTAAGGGGAAGGATACTTGTTGGAAGTGGCATTTCCATCCAAAATATATATTATCTTATAGAGCATGGAACACTGATTCTAGATCTGCTTTATATCTGTAAAGCGCTTTTGGGTAGGAGTTATGGAAATTTTTGGTGCAAAAATTTGAAACCGCCAGTACAACAAAATTATTCAGAACTTGAGTCGGTGAGCTCAGATGGGGGCCACGTTTACTGCCGGGGCGTTTCATATAATAAATACCCTCAGTTATGAACTCATGTCATTGATTACTCCTTTCAAGCGCCGAAAAGTTTCCAACACTTGTTTTTACCTTAGCCAAATTATTGATTTTTTCACACAAAAAATTCCCAGAACTCCACTCTTAATAGCGCTTCGCAGATAAAGAAGGCAGATTTGAAATCAGCGCTTCATTCTCTATACCACACATTATACATTTTATATGAAAACGCCACTCCGACCAAGTATCCCTCCCTTGTTAGGTCAATGCAAAGAACATGTTTCGGAGAACAAATTGGTTACGCTCGAGGCTTACGCATTAGCCGAACTGAATTTTGATAGTACAATCAACTTTTACAAATGTAATAGGACTGTCATGAAAGAGATTCGTTGAGGTTTGGCAAGCCGTCTCGTCAAAAATCGTAAAAGTCCTGACATGAGACTCTTGCAAGAAAGTGTGCCAAAATGAAATCATCAAATTCGCAGCCCGAACTCTTACTTTCAAACATCTCGAACAACTGCTAGCATTTGTGGTGCACTTATTATGAAACGTAACAACGAAGTACAAGCCTTATTTCTTCGGAGACGATTATAAGAGCACCTGCATCCCGTTTTAAAAATTTCTAAAATCCGCATTGCACTTGCTGGTTTGTTTCTAAGGTTGAAATAGTTTGCCAGTGATTCTGCCAATCTCTCCTGCTGCATTATTCCATTATGAGAAGAAAGTGATTGCTTCTTTGCAGGTGAAAAGCTTCAGTAGTAGTGTAGTTCTGGTAGGGCCTTTATAAAGCATTTTGCTTACAACTACTATTCATGCTCTTTCACCTTTCCATAACTTTTCTCTTTTTGCATCTGGTGCACTCAAACTGAAAATGTTTATGAAGTGCGGTTCATAATTATACGAACACCTCAAACAAAGGTCCACTTTCATTCAAGATTGTAATCTTCGAGTCAAATTTTTTGTAAAGTTACAGTAACAAAGTCTGAAATATCCCCTACACACTGACCCCGAGCGTTACTTTTTTGAGACGGCTCTAAATGCTTTGGTCATTGCGCTCCAAAAACGTCTGTTCTTCTGTGGTTTACGCACTCTAAACAGCTTCTACCAAGGCTATGAGATAAAATAGGCTCTTTCGATAGGTATTTTGTTTGGTACTTGGAAAATCTTTGCGTTTTCGTGCCGTTTTTCAACCAAGTTCAAACCTTACCTTATTAGCACGATTTCGAGCCTCAAAACTCAGCTTTTGAAGCCCCACCATGAAGTAAGCACATAGTGTGTAAACGTTCACAAGACTCTGTATTTGGCTAGAAAAATTCAGCAAGATTGAGCATTTGCTTTGGCCACGCAGGCGTCATTTCACCAAAAGCAGTGTTTTTATCACTGCAATCACACCTTTATTTGGTTTTTAGCTCCATAGCCTCAAGATTAGTCCTGCAAAAAACCCAAAAACTTTGGCACGGATACATCATCATGCATACAATGCAGCTGCTTCATATCAAATGTTTGCGCGAGACAGAAGCTGAGTTTTGAGGCTTGAAATCATGCTAGCTCTAGGGTAAGGTTGGAACTTGGCTTAAAAACGGCACGAAAACGCAAAGATTTTCAAACCGTCATACAGAATATCTACCGAAAGAGGTTATTTTATCTCAAAACCTTAGCAGAGATTGATTAGAGTGCGTTACAGAAGGACAGAGGTTATTGAGAGGAAGTGACTCCAAAAGCATTTAGAGCCATCTGAAAAAAGTAACGTTCCTCTTTTTGAACTATAGAGTGGTCAGTGTGTTGCAGATATTTCAGAATCTATTACTGTATAACTCCACAAAAAATTTGGACACGAAAGATTGCAATCTCGAATGAAAAGTGGACCTTTGTTTGAGGTGTTTGTATAATTTTGAACCGCTAAAAATTCGCATTAGGTGCAAAAGCACTCCTAAGATAAACACCGATTTCCATTCTTATGGATCATATACTGTTTTCGGCTGTGCTCTTTCGTGTGTACCAACGGCTTTTTGAATTTCTTCGAAAAAGTAATCTTCTAAAATTTGGGGTGTACGTATAATTATGAACCGCACTTTACTATGATGTGAGCTAACAAATACAGCAATTTGCTAAATCCTGGCATCGCGTGTAAGGGTGACGGTAGGTGTACCGTAAAAACAAAAAATTACGGTCGTCCCAGATTGCTACAATTTCAGCTGAAACTTTGTCTAGGAGGGTTTCTCGACACGCTAATTACAAACATCATACTCATTTTGCATGACAAAGCCTTTTTGGTATGGTCACAAAAAATTTCAGTTTGACGACAATTGAATATGATAGTCGTGTTCAGCATGCGGAATAGCCCTACAATGCAAAGTCTTGGCAAATTCTGGAATTTCACTCACAAGTTGTTAACGGATGTAGTATCAATTCTGCGTCAACTGCGGTGTTCAACTTGCCGAGGGTGCCAGATCTCGAAAAGTCTCCAACTGATTGTTTAACTTCTATGCCACAACAGGTTTTATCGGAACTCTTTATTGAGCCTCACGTTTCGGCGGAAAATTGTTCCGATAAATAAAAGAGTTCCGATAAAAACCTGTTGTGGCATAGAAGAAGTTAAACAATATCCTATCATCATACCAAGGTTTGAAGAAAGGAGAACTTATGAAGTTCACTGCTATTTTCTAAAGAGCTCAAGAAGCCAATCTCTGACAATAGAATCGTGTGTCTGACATAAGCTGTGAACGAAATCGCATTTCCTCGTAATCCAATGAAATTTCAAATTTCAGTAGTTTTGAAAAAATCCTCAATTATTCCTAACTCCTTATCAAGAAATGAATAGTTTGTGCTCACTTGTAGCGAACACTGCAGTCTATAATGCCAAACTTTGAGCGAGCCATATCCAAAAAGGAAACTTACGAAGGAAGTTGTAAACCTTGGCTAACAGCCTGATATTTATAGCAGTTGCGGCCTCTGGTACCGTAATTAATGTGTTCCTTCCTGTTTCGTCTGCTGTCGCGTATAAACACAGAATGCATTTTGAGAATATATCTGCTATTTAGATGAAACCTTTGCTTGCTACCGTGGTAATCTTTTTTGTATCAGTCGTTGGTGCCAGTCGACTTTTTGATATATCAAGCATTCAAGTAAGCACATTATTTGACCGTAGTCATAGCAAACTTCCTTTTGTATCAGGAACTATCTCGTCGCAGCGTTTCTAATCGACCGAGGGAAGATGATTATCGCAGGCCCATACAAGGTGATTGTTTCAGTCGTAATATTGTACAAGGTTGGGGGAAAGTGTTTGAACAACATTTAGATGCTATCCTGTTCCATATAATATCTTATCTTTTCTTTGGTGCAAATGATCTTTGAACTGTTCTATAAAAGCCCTCCAAAATTCGGATTGATATTTTTGATTCTACCGGAGTTATGCCCTCTCAATCAGAGCGCGAGCTGGTCGTGAAGATGCACATGCACACAAAAGCAAATCGCTCAAACACTCGGAATTCCACGGAACACGGTATGGTACAATCTGCGCCGTTTCAAGGGGGCAAGTAACACCCAGGACCGTCCAAGGGACGGTAGACTAGCCACCGCGGACACTCCCGCAAACCGGAAGATCATCCGAAAACGTCGTAATCCGCAAAGAAGCTTGAGTGAGCTGGCATCAGAGCTGTCCATCAGTCGTAGGACCATCTCGGACATTGTGAAAGTGAACCTTGAGATGAAGCTCTACCAGATGCAGAAAAAGCACGCACTTCAAGACAATATGAAGCTGGTTCGACTTCAAAGGTGTCGCCGATTGATTGAGCGCTTCTCCAAGGCACGCCACCGAACGATCCTCTTTTCTGATGAGAAAATCTTCACCGTGGAGCAGGTTTTCAATCGCCAAAACAGCAGGATCATATCCAAGTCGCTCGAAGAAGCACACAGCGAAGGTCGACTTATGGAAAGTAAGCTCCATCCGGCTTCTGTGATGGTTTGGGTGGCAATCACTTCCGACGGCAAGACACCGCTAATTTGTGCCTCAGGGCATCAAGGTAAACGCTGCTGCGATTTGGATAGCATCCTGAAGAAGGTACTGCTACCCTGGACCAGAACTCATTTTGCCGGTAGACATTGGTGCTTCCAGCAGGACAGCGCACCTGCTCACAAGGCGAAGGTTTTCAGACATGGCTTCAGAGCAACGTAAAGAACTTCATTACTCCTGCAGAATGGCCTCCGTACTCGCTGGATTTAATCCCTCGACTATAGCGTATGGTCATTTCTTGAGGCCAAGGCTTGCGCTCACTCACACAAAACGTAGTGTCCCTGCGACGTGCTCCTTTAGAATGCGTGGGAGGAAATCAACGTGGAGTACGTCCGTGGACAGCTTTCCCAAGCGTCTTCGAGCCTATGTTCGCGCCAATGGAGGGATCTTTGATATTAAAGTTGTTTTTACATAGTACATTGTTTGATGAACATTATATATTTATTTCATACAAATATGTTGCCTAGTTTCGTAACTACGATAAAAATACCGTGTTCAGAGACTCTCCCCCCAACCCTAAAATCTATTTCTTCAAATTTGGTGATTACTTAGCAGATCCAGATCAGTGAAATCTATCTTTAGAATGTCCAAATGTCAGGGGACAGGTGTGGAAATTTTGCCCTTCAGCAGACTCTAATGGAATATGGAAATGCATCAGGTTTGTTGTAACAGTTTGTACTTGCACTGATAGTGCACCAATTTGCAATGGTCATAAACACTTCGCGCATGTCTCACAAGGAAAGCATATTGAGCCTAATTTGCCTTCCTTATCCGCAGAACGTTTATGGACGAGGAGTTATGAGCCCTTATTGGAGCAAAAAATTCACTGTGCAAGTAGGACAAAAATAGCCGTAATACTTTTCTAGCTCTTCAATGGAGCAGTGACAATCGTCAGAGCACTTTATTTTAAATACCTAAAATGAAAAATATACCACACTTGCCTGCATTATTTGAGGGCTAATAAGATTTTAGCAACTCATTTTATCCAAAATGCGCATTCAATTTTTGGCTCCAAAAACGCTCATAACTCCTCGTCCATAAACGTTTTGCATGTATGCCAGGAAGGTTTGCAATCAGCGTTTTTAGCCCTTTAATATGGTACACATTACATTTAGAAAGGCCACTCCACTGAACAAGCGCTTCCCTTGTCAGTCAAAATTTCACAGTCCAAAACTATTTTTAATTTATCTGAGCCCGATATAATCTGCAAGGCTCTGAGCCCTTCGGATAGCGTATGGAATGACAAGAATGATCTGCGAAGTTCGGGGTTGATTCAAACAATAAAATGGCCTTTTGAAAGTGTGTGCGGCAGCTCCGTTATGCCCTTTTTGATATGTGCCAAGTGATAAGAGTAGACGAGTAATTGTGGAATAGGCTTATTCGCATGCGACGTACATTCGGACAGAGCGATCGACTATCCCGGTTGTAAACCGAAGAGCAACCACTAGTACATTCGGTGGCTCCGTACATGCTAAGGAAGGCGGAGCTGAATACAAACTATAACATAGAGAATAGGTGCTTGAAAAGAGATGCCACCGATTGGCCTACACTCTTGACGCACAGGTGCCGCTCAGCCTTAAGTGGTCAAAAAGGATAAAGAATTTGGCGCCATCAATATCTTCTGCAAGCAGGTGCCGAACGCAGACCTGCGTGGGCCAGCCAATTACCAAGTCAATGCTTTTATTCTTCCAGATCACTCATAGGGGCCTGCAGGATCGCGAGAGTCGGACGTGCGTACGGCCATTGCGCCGCGCACATGTGATGTCACTTATGCAGGTGCCAGACTTACCCGCTTCAACCGGTTCGTTCGGTTCATAGGTCAAATCACTACACTGTCCAACAGAAAAGGTGGTGAACCGAATGAATCTGTTGAACAGGATAAGTCTGGCACCTACCTGATTCGTCGGACGCACGTCCGACTCTCGCGATCCTGCAGGCCTCTATACCAATTTACCGGCCCCGGAAGATAGAGGGCTTGATTGGCTCAGGGGCGGCGCCGACCTGGGTCCGATATACTCGTAGTCGCACCTCATACCGCTACGCCACTCGTCTTGATTGATTGGATAACCAAAAATGAGTAGCTCGAAATTTAGTCTTTGGGAATTCCATAGGCAGCAAAGAGAATAGAATTTATTGTTTAATGATACAGAAATCATCAACACCCTGTATAATCGTTTTGAAACAGCGGCAGGGAGCGTTGCTCGCACTTATCGCGAGCGCTACTCCGTATCCGCCTCCTACAAACTTTGCGCAGGGAAATTGAATGAGCAAGGAAATTTGCAAGAGGACAGTCACCAGCGTCGAGCAAGAGGTGTGGCCAATCATACCTTCCGTACACACATCATGTACTGTGACTGCTTTCACTCTGAACGATATCAGAAAACACAGCCTTCACTTAAGAAAAATAGAAGTTATCTGGGGGGGGGGGGCTGGCGAAGCCCGGATGCTAAGCTCATAAATCGAAATGATTGTGTATGAAGCAATATAGTGAGTAATATCTTGCAAATATCCCAGCAAACCGAGAAATTGCGCTTTTACTGCCTTTTGTGTTAAAAGCAGGATTTTTGTGTCCCCTAGAAATAAAAACAGATCTCAGTTAACCTCTGTCTAGACTAAAAATGAGCCTCAAGAGTTCAGAGAGCTGCTGAAGTTCAATAAAAATGAGAAACTGCGCTTGAATTTTGCACAGAGGGTCGCGCACGAGAATTCTGAGTTGTCTCATGGAGGAGTGGTTTTTAAAGCGGCGACGCTATCAGTACATTTAGTCGTGTCATGACCAGGGCTCGGCACGAGGTGGCTAGATGAAAATGGAAAAAAACGAAGTCCCCTTGACTTTTGGGAATTTTTACGAAGTCCCCTTTGACCCTCAACCAAATTTCCTCTAAAAACCTGAAAAATTCCCCAAAATCCCCCAAAAAACGAAACGTCGACTAAAAAAAAGGTCGCCCTCGCCAATTTTCCGTGTCTCTTCGGTCACAAAAACGAAACCCCCTTTGCTTTTCGTCCCAAAAACGATACCCAGCTTGCTTGTAAGCCACCTCGTGCCGAGCCCTGGTCATGACTATATGATGTTGCAGGGTTCTGTTCAGAAATCGCGGAGATCTTCGACCAGAGTAAAATGCCCCGTCAACTCCGCTTTTTTTCCTCTGCTCGTCTGCGTCTGCACGTGCTGCGCGCTACATACCAGGCTACGCTCTGCTTTCACGCTGATAACGTCGCCAGACCCGATTTTTGGTTTGAACGAAAGATCTGGCAAGAACGTATTTTGAAAATCTCGTGTTTCTCCTTCAGTTCTTTTCAAACGATTTATTCGTGTATTCGACAGCTATTGCTTTTGCCTATAAGGTAGACAAGGTCGCCGAGCTTACTTTTTCGATTGTGGCGGATTTTCGCTTAGATTGATGAGCCAGCGCTGAAAACGTCGCGGGAAGGAGAGTAAAAATTCAAATGACGCATCAAAAATTGGAGCTTTGATGTGAATTTTGACTTCCTGAAAACAAAACATTTCTTTTCACAACTGAATTTTCTCCAGTTTATCTTCTTCTTAGCGACCACAGCTTCCGCAACGTGGTTGTTTTCGAGACATTTTGCAAAAGGAGAACCCTGAGCTGTGAACCGGCGGGTCCTGGCTGGAGAAAGTCTGTGATTTGAAATAGCGCCAAAGAGAGATCTTGAAGTTATTGCGGCGTTTCTACCCGATTCTCAGCAATTTCTTCTGCTTTTGCTTTGCTTATCCCTCTTCCCTGATATTTTGTAACACCTTCACTTTTCATGGGGACGAGTTTCTCAACAACGTTCACTTTTGTCGCCTTATCTCTAGACTATCGAAGGTATACACGATTTATGACACGCAAAGACTGGGCGCCGTTGCGTCCAGCCAAGATAGTCCGTGCATGGGTGAGACAGCGGGTGGAGGAACGAACGCCTCAATTTGGCACCGCCTCCGCGGACTACTGGTCCCAACACGATGTACAACAGTAAGACGAAAGGACCAGCAGCCCGCAGAAGCGGCGCCTAATTGAGGCGTTCGTACCTCTACCCTGAGACAGCAGATGACAAGAGAAACGAAAGAACGCTCATGAGAGAGACCCGATACGTTCGCTCTTTGCGTGCTATGAATCGCCTATACGGTCTCAGTGAACCCCGCAGCATTATCTGTCATCTACCGTAGGCATAACACGAAGGTCCTACCAAGCATAATGCGCAAAATATTTGTAATTAGCACGCGAAATGATCCATGTGAACCAAGTTTCAGCTCTGAGGTTTCCACTTACTAAGCACCTAGTGAAATGGTCATTCTCAAACATGATTAACTTTCTTCTGATAGTAAATTAGCTACCTCTTTTTGTACATGGAATTAAGGAGCCAGCCAAAATCCGTTTGTCCTGATTTTTTCTTTCGTTGATTGTGCTTTTAGTAGTTTCTGCACAGTATAAAGAAGACCAATTGAGTACAAATTACTCTTGTGAAAACCTCGATATTCACGTTAGCGGACGTTATATGAAATTTCATTAGAAACATTTAGTAATATCATATTACTAGATGTTTCTAATGACAGAATTTATGAGTGAGACCAGCCCAGACGAAGGGGCTGTTGCATCTTTTCCAAGAGTGTGTCACACTCCATTAACATATAGGGCATTCGAAAAATTGCGACGATGGCGCGACCGCGCGCGATAAGCACTCACTTCCTGCAATCCCTATTTCTTAGTTTTCGACTTTAATTGAATGGTTTGTCTGCTTACCTATGACAGTATTGAGACCCTAGCAGTGGTTGAACTAAGCATTGAGATGATGCCTTTTTTACGAGTGCTTGCTCCTGTGGGCGCAAAGACCGCAGTCAAATCCGCCGGTACGAATGACCTATACCTTCAACGTCAATATTTTTCACATCTTTGAATCCGCTTATCTCTCTCTTTTTTCCTAGAAGAAGGTAGGCTGTTTTCCATTTTATATCTTCACGGCATTTATTGGATTACGGTAGCAAGGTAGCTCAAGCTCATTAGCCTAAACTCGTAATTTTTCCTAGGATTGATTTGGGGCTGATTTGTCTTCTTTAACCTGAGTTAGAGCCGCTGAAGCACAATCATCGGGAGCGAAAAATGAGACAAACGAGATTTTGGCTTTCTCCTTTTTCCATAAATCGGCGGTTAATTGAAGTGGGTTGCTCTGAAAAACACTCATAACTCGGCGTCTAGAAGCGCTTGGCAGATAATAAAAGCATATTTGGAATTACCGTTCAATGCTATTCGAACTCGTTTAAAACTCAACTAGAAAAGCCACTTCGACTAAACACGCTTCCCTTGTTAGTTCTATATTATGATTACCGTACTTTGCAATGACGAATCAATACCACAGTGTGGTATTATGTTGCATAAGTGCTTAACTGGATGTTAACAAATACCTTGTTATCGCTAACATCAATATAACCTAGATTACGATCTCCTTCCCTCTCTGACCTTTAATACTACCTCCGGGCGTGGCCACATCCCACGCGTGACCCTGACAATCGCGCCGTTGGTAGAGACGCCTAAAAAAGCTTGAAAGCGGAAGTGAAGATAAGAGCTCTGGAACTGCGAATCTTCGAAGTAAATAAACGAGATTGCTGGTTTTTTCGTTGACCAGTAATGTTTGAATGACCTTGTATTGGTTGTTGTTCTCTTAGCAGTTTGTAGAACCACAGTTTTGCCTTGGTAGTGCGGCCGGAGGTCCTCAAGTTCTGAGCTACCCCTTTTCCCGTGTTTGTACTTTCCATTCTTTTGTACATACTTTTCAAAACAGCTCCTTTTATCGCTGCTCAAAAAACTACCAGTTACTATGACTTGTTTCGGCTGGTCCCTATGATACAGTTAGAAGAAATCTATGTTTGCGTTCCCTACGGGCAGGGGAGGAGACTGTATATTGTCAGGGGTTACCTACATTATCATCTGTGCCTACTGTGGCAACATATACATCGCTGAAACTGCATGCCGTCTATGCGTCCACATCAAAGAGCGTGCTTGGATATCACGCACGACTACACCTTCAGGAACTCACAGGGTGCTGATGCCGGGAGAACGCCGAAGTTTCAGTGACGACTTTAGCCTATGAATCACAGATATCAGCTCTCAAATGTTCGGAAGTCTCTTGAATTGACGCGAACAGTTCACAAATAAATCGCTGTGAACTCACTTCTTTCCTTGTTCGTCTTTTTCGATCCAGTTTAACCATATAAATATTCACTAAGTCAAAAGAGATTGCAGTGGCAGCATGACCTATATGATTACTCGCGTTAGTAGCGTTCGCTCAATCACTTGTATGCAGCGTGCTCAAAGGGTAAGTGTTTGGTTCGGCAGCCTAAGCAGGGTACAGTATATGTACATGCACATTACTGGGATTTTGTTTGTATCTGCAGAACATTTGGTCGAATAGGTTGCAAATTATTTTCTCCATTCTAGGCTCTGAAAAAGGCGATATGGCAAACGTCAGCCACCAAGTATTTGTTACCAATCTGTGGGCTTACCAACCCAATCTAGATCAAAGTCTCATTTTTGACAGCAAGCTCAAAGAACTGTTTATAGTCGTTACTACGCTAGTCGCCTGATGGATAAAGTCAAATTTAAACTGGGGCAGGCCAATTGCGGTAGAGGGCGTCACCCTCAGCCTCAATCCAATCTTATGCATATTTTCCTTCCGTTTTTCTTCGTTTTGAATGCTGTTTCTTATTTTTGACATCATTCGTATAAGAGTCGACGACTTTGTTGTTATAGAGCATTCAGTGCTGCTATGCTCGTTCATTCAGCTTCGCGCTCAGATAAATTTAACGAAACGATACATTAGGGACTTGCTCGTACATTCTTTTCAAGTATCATTTACTTAAGTGTTGGTCCTGCGATCTCATATCACATATCACTCGCATTGTTCTTTTGAGCTTGTTTCAGATCAGAGTTGAAAAAAACCTGATAGCGTGATCAATCCTCTCAACGACAACATAAACGCCAACTATAATCACGAACATTGTTGAAATAGCAGTCAACGACGAAAACCAATAGAGAAAAGCTTGCATAAGATCAATGAGAGCGGGTGCCGCGCTCTGCCGCAATCGGCCTGCCCGTTTCGAATTCGAATTCATATAATATCTGCTGCATGACGAAGGCGGTTGCCCAAATAGGTTGAAGGCTGTTGCGCACGCGGCGCGCGGGCAATTGTCAACCACCGGGCGCGCGTACGCTCGGTCAGCGCGCGCGCAGCTCCAGTGGATGACCGCTGACCGAGCGTGCGCGCGCCCGGTGGTTGACAATTGCCCGCGCACCGCGTGCGCGACATCCTTCAACCTATTTGGGCAACCGCCTTCGTCATGCAGCAGATATTACCAAGCGGCTAGTGGGGTGAAAACGACTATGCAATAATAAAGTCAAATTCCGCTTTAACATGCATATTTAAACGGATAATTGGAGCTGTGCTAGAACGAAAAAAAAAACCAAATTTGCTTGATCGACTTTATAATTACATGCGCCACTGCTTTCAGGATAACAGACTTGTGCGACGGGAAAGAGGACTGTCCAGATGGCTCAGACGAAAACGCCACAATGTGCGCTTTTCATGCCATGGTAAGTGTAGGTGAGAACAATATGTAATTCAACCTTTTACTTGTCCATTCTTGCGCAAAATAGATCAAACAAAAATGACTTGAAGGCAGTGGATCGGCAAAATACTCTAATCAGATCTTGATAGTGTTAGGTAGTGAACTCCAACTGAACTGTAGCCCCACCCCCACTCTCCAACTCTAACTTACATTGAGTGGGCGTCATTGATGGAGTTTGACGCGCATTTTCATGAACTAGCGCATGATTCGGAGGGTGGGAATAGGGCTACGGTGTACTTGGGGCCTACTCCTAACGCTACCAAAATCCGATTAGGGTCTATTTTGCCGACCTACTGCCTTTGAGCTACAATCGACCAATTACGTCTATGTTATGTATTCATACAGCCACAGACTGCATGAAGTTCATTGTCTATGTCATACTTATATCAGTCCATGCAAACGTATCGAAACTCTTTTCTCGAGCGCGAACAGCTTGTCCAGATTACACTAATGCCGATTATTTTTCGGACGTACTCGTACGAGCGTTTTCGGACCTAATTATACCTACTGCTTGAACAAAAGTGTGTCTGTCCATAGGTCCTTGCATATGTCGTCGCGGACTGCGCGACATTCTTGATGGAGTTCACTACGACTTTGCAGTCCTAAAACGCAGGTCCTCGAGCTGTCCGCGCCCTCAGTCTAGCTATAAAGACTGCCACCTTCGCACAAAGTCAGTTCCGTCGCATGTATCATCTTGCGAACTTTCGGCTTCCATCTTCCATCGTCAAGTCTCAGTCAAGCAGCGCAGCCTCAATCCACACGAAGCCACATCAACCACGCTATGGAGGAGTGGCCCTGCAGCGCACGAGGTAGCCTGGCGCAGAATCAGGGATTCTGCGCCGAGTGTCAGGCGATTCTCCGATTCTGCTGACTCCTGGTAAGGTGACTGGTCGGTTGTACTCTACGCGCGCGTAAGAATTGTAGAGTTTCGGTGCACATATGATTGCTAGTGTTATTGAGATGCGGTGAGCCACGCTCGACTGTGGCTCCTAATATCGTATACATACCATTATAAACAATGCTAGAATGTTCTATGTATGCGAAAACCGACACAATCTTAGGTTCCGCCTCAGATTACGATGAACCGCATTTGTCGGCCATGCGATGCCAGTCTCAGACAGCAAGTTACGTGAAGACGTGGAGGCTGCTAGGCAGAGTGGTAGCTCAGGGTTCCTAGTTTTACATGGTGTTCTACAACGTGGCAATCTAAATTGGCATTACCGCACGTTACTTGAACCCTTTCACGGATGGATCCCCGGGTTCTGCATACAAACGCAGATAGGCATCATTGGGGGCCTTTCCGCATCGAGCTGAGGGCCCAATCCGCGGCGTCTTTGTAGAAGACACTTCCAGGCAATTAGTTTCACAGTGTGTATTTCACAAGGGCTAAGGCACAGAAGGTGTCACCTAAAATTTGACTCGAGACATCATTTATGATGTGGAAGAAACTCAATATATTCCAGCAAGTGGAGGAAGAGAATCGAATGCGGGAAAGTTTACGCCAGTTACAACGAAAATTGAACCTGTAGTCATCCACAACACATTAGTTGACTAATATTATCTTTGTAACGTCTCCCTATTTGATGTTCAAAAACCGTATTAGCTTCGTATTATCCATATCAATGTGGTAATAAAATGTGATGCAATAAAGTCTTTTCTTTGTTGTGTGTTAAAAGATAGCGGTGTCTTGTTTTTTTGCTTAACAGAGAGCTGTTCTTTGAAGTCAACAAACGAGCGGTCTCACCGAGTGAAAATCAACTGATCCATTCTCACATCGTCTGTGAAGAGATCTGTTATATTAAAGTAAGCAGGAAGAGCTATGTGTCAACCACTACTTTCCAGCAAAGTTGAAACTAACAAGATATTTATGCAATACATCAAGTTGGTGAGAAAAACTTTGTTTTGACAAGTTACCATTGGACTCGATAAAAAGAGTGGCAGTCACAGTCGACTGAAATTTTTATTAAGGAGGCAGTCAGTCTTTTTCTATATATTAGGTTGTCCCGAAAGTTCTGTCCGTTTTTTCAAACCACTATAAAACCATGCACAATAAAGATCTAAGGGAGTTTCAACATGCATTCGATGCAGATTTTCCTTCTCTTTTCCATGAATTCATTTTCGAAGCACAGTCTTGTATGCTTTTCTTGATATTGCCAAAATTTCCACCCGTAATTTTCTCTGCTCAAAGTTGCGCTAATTTTTGAAATTTCATTCCAAAGTTTCGGAAAGGATGAAGTATGGATCAAATAGAGCAATTCTCGCACTACAAGATGATATTTTTGGATTCTCCCAATCTGTTCTTTCTAGCCTCAAAAAATTATTTCTTCGAAGGTCTCGATTTTTGGCAAAGTCATGAAATACACAATTGCAGCAAATACACGAAAGCTTTTGAAGTTTCTGCAAAGTGAAACCTGATTTTTACTGAACATTATTTATGCAACTTAACCAAGTTTGATTTTTGAAAAAGCAGCTTTCGGGAATTTTAGGTACGTTCACGTGGTAAACGTAATCAAGAAGCCGCGGTTTTTATTAAATAACTTTTTATAATGGATTGGTAAACGTGGCCCATGTAATCTAAAATGGGTACAATGTAGCCAAAGGTTTGCTCTACATAATAGTTACCAGCGCTCTCTGTAAACCTTAGGTTGAAAATTTTAAAATTCAGGAAAGATTTGACGTTACTGCTGAACTGCTCAAAAAGTCATGGCGGTAACACTGCATAGACAAAGTAGATCAGAGAGCAAATATAGCAAGAAAGAGGATAAAAATCTGAATCAAATGGTACCTAAAACGATGGATTGGTGTCCTGTGAGATTTAATGAGCGATGTAAAAAAAGGAAAAAACTTTCGGGACAACCTAATATTTTGACTATTTGGAATTATCAGTGGTTGAGTCATCCATTTATCGTCATGATCGTTTAATTGCGTGTTGTAAAACTAGCTGTCGCAATGTATGTATTACGACTTATCTGGATGGATAACTAGTGTCCTTATGTGTCCAAAATACCCAAAATTTTCGAAGCAAGCCGAGACATACATGTGTTTTGCAGGTGAAAGTAGTTAGAGCAAAAGTAAATACAAATCTTTTATTAAAAAGCCTTGGTGAAACACGTAGTAATAAGAGATCCTGCTGTAGCCTTCATACATAATGGTTTGCTTTTCGAAAAGTAAGACCGAAGAAGAAGTTACAACTAAAATACAAAGATGCTGAAGCGACCGAAAATCGATGTGACTTATTTTCAGACGGCAAACTCTCTGAACTCTACCGCTAAAGCACAAACAATGGAACTGATACGAGATTATCACGTTTGAGATCAGGCAACTGACGAGATCATTCTTGTGCAGGAAGCCCGCATACATATAGAGTTCACATAGCAACCATTCTATCTCAGCTGACTACTTTGATGACAAACAAGCGGACTCTAGCACTAAATTTTAGAATTCTAATCGATGAGTCTACCACTGCAAGCAAAAGATTCAATTCGATATGAGTCTAGTTGATCTGCAGATGGCGCTTCGATTCGGAAGTGTATCGTTGCTTCGGACTCGGATTCCACAATCATTTCGCCGATCGAGCAAAAGACGTCGTAGCTCAGCATTTCATCTTCTGTAAAGTAGCAAATATCATGAGTAAACGTTTATAAGGACTTATTCACTCTTCGGGGGTACCTTGCCTGCAATGAACATGAAAGGACCCCACAGTACTTGCATCCAATATTCTAATGTCTTGAAGAGAAGACGATTATATGTGAGAATGAAGACACGTCTTTAGTTTAACAAGATGCAGCAGAAACTTCATTGTGTTTCCCCGCGAAATTCTATGACATTCACGCTATAGCGTGGAAGCGACGTTCAGGTGCGAAAATTAATTCCAGCTGACTTCCCAGTTCGAGCATCATTCCAGAACAGGTTGCCTATGGGGCATTTCAAATGAGGCGTTTCGCGCCACAAGCTTTGAATGCGTCAGTTGACCTGCGGGTTCAAGAGTCCGAAAACAACCTGAACTGCTCTTTTTTGTATCAAAGGCAGGGTCCACCCAGAATTCTGTCTTCCATATTGTTTTCGGGCCTTTCCATGGCGCTGATTTCGAATACGAAGTTCAAATTACCAGAAAGCTTTAAAAAATTGCCCCTTTCTGGAGTCCTTTTTGGCAAATCACGTCGTATGCAGCAGGAGATCTCGTCGTGTGCAACAGTGCCACATCACAAACTATGCGTCTCGGCGTTGCTTGACATATCAGAATACACGTCAATGTACGTCACGGGGCAACAAGTGGGTGGGTGGAGCGCAAAAAAGGGGGCGAGGCGCAAAGAGAGTCCAGGTCCGCTATCTTCTTGTGTAGGCAACACTAGAGGACCGGACCAACGCTGTTGGTCTACTTTTACGGCTTGCCAGTGGGACAAGTAGTAATCCAAGGGGTGGATAGATTTTTGGGTGGGCTGCCTTTGAGTTTATGCACTAGATCATCGCGCATGTTCGTTGAACGGCCCATATGCAGACAAAACTTTTATTATCGACGAATCATTATAGATCATTCTTCAGTTGATTCCCCTTTGATCGCGCAACATTGGCCTTTCCTACTTCGTTTATTTCCTCGAATTTCGTCTGTACTTCACTGATGCTGCTTGACAAGACAACAATATCCGCTGCGAAGAAATTACAAAATTAGCTCTGAACTGAATAGCTCTATCACTTCAGTCCGTTGCCTTTACGTTGAGTATAGCTTCGGTGACTTGGCGTAGCCCTGACCTGACCCCTTACTGGTATGGAGGCGATAAAATAGCGGTACTGTCGTCGTACAGTTATTGAAAAGCGGAACCATGATATCAAAACGGCCGCTCAACCAGTTCATTCGCGATGACCAACTAGTCAGAAATGCATATTGTTCTACACAAGACCAGCAGGAACGTCCGCATACACATTATTTTATTAGTTGTCGTATCCTTTTGTCCCAGTGAATCTCGCACTGGCCTTCTTCTAGGGGACGCGATTTAGAAGCTTGTGTACGGTCCAAAACGATGGTAAGTTCAAGAAAGACAAAAACTATTGGGAAGCCCATTTGCCCGCACATTGTCTTTGATACAGTCCTGCGTGTGTAGAGGACATTGTGTTGCAAGAAAGAGAGGTCGCGAGCATACATTTGCAACAAACGCGACCTATACATTATATCAAATGCCAGAGGCACAAGTCATAACGCGACTTGGCAATTTTCCAGATGTCTACAAATGCGCGTGCGCTTCTCTTAAGTGCATAGACGCGTAGTTGCAAATGCAGATCTTGAAAACAAAGCGTGCTTACGACCAAATATAAATATGGTGTGTCACGATCAAGATAGCTGGAATTAAGCGCGCTGTGTGTCAACAAGCCGCGCATAAAGTCTTATTTTTTGAAGCGATATATGTTCTTCAATGGACTGGAAATGACGTCGAATAGTAAGAAATAGCATACTAAGCTTTCAGCGTTTTTTTCAAATTGCTAACATCATAGGTTAATATAGAACTTGAAGAAGATTTGACCTACGCAACGCATATAGGAGCACAAGCCATCGTTCGTGTTATGCCCCATATTACCAATAGTTTTGTGTAGAATTGAGCAGCGAATGGAATTTTGTGAGCGATGCCTTATGTCCAAGTGCGCAAACCTGGTTTCATCACCCACGCGGCGCGTGAAGCACGGGCGGGTATAGGACCGGCTCGCGTTTACAACTTGTAGCGAGGTATACATGGAGACAGGGCTTCTAGACGCTGTCAGCGTCTCTCTGATCAAGCGTACTTTCATCCCTCTTGTCGATCGTCTCTTCCAGATAGTCGCACGCAACGGCATCCACCCACTGAGGGATGACTCGCCTCTGCCTGCGCGCCGCCTGCGCACCCGCGTATCCTGTTAGCGACCGCTTTCGTCCCGCAATGAACTTTTACGAATCAACATTTGATATTACTACACTGATATTACTGATATGGCCTCTGGGTCACAACATAGGTTGAGCAATCCAAATGACCCTACCTTTTCCCTTCTGACAGACCTTCTTGCTATGCAAAGGGAAATCACCCAATCGAAGTCCCTGTTTGATTTGAATGCACTAAATGACACAAAGTTATTTCGCCAATTGCGCTGTTGTTATGTAACATACCACTCCAGAGCCTTCAACACTTTCCACAGCAGCTCGCGCTCTACCTGGCAAAACCAGTGAACAAGGCTTCTCCGTTCTCGTGTACGACATCGTCAATGGAATACCGACAACATCGAATGGCACAGAATCTCCGCATTCTAAAATATGCGAAATTCTGTATACATAATAGTAACTAGAAGGTGTGAGCTCAAAGCACAAGATGTTTATTACCCTTTCTGCCGCTGCATCTGGTCATATTTTGTATTTTGTTTGACTCTCATAGTTGTTTTTGATTCTTTACCAATTCTTAGTGACAATATTATAAATAAGTTACCTTTTGAAGCTTTCTTGAGAACTACTAATGATGGGGCGCCAACAAAGCTACATTACCGCTCTAGTTCTTAGCCCCGAAACCGATTGTGTGAAAAACACTAGTTAGTAGTTAATAATTTCGGAGTATTTTGGAATATCTTGGAATATTCTTTCTTAAGTTGTGGACTTCCATCTCTTTGTTCGTTTAAGAGGTTACATAAGGAAACATACCGAAATGTGTACTGTAGTAAGACACCCCAATGTGTGTACCAGCGGGAAGTTCCCTCACGTTGATCATGTACTCGCTCTCTCCTCCAACAAACACAGCTCCACCTGCTCGATCCAAACATGGAAAAACTGGCGTTTTCGTCTCAGATGATACAATCTGAATAGGCATGGCATGAGTGAATCTCATTGCTTTACTATATCATTAAGTACCATCAGATCACTTGCGTGATGCCGACATCTGAATTCTTTGCCAGATACCGTAATCTGTACGGCTTGTTCCTCAGGTACTTCCACATTAATGGTGCACATCTCATGTTTGGGTAAACGATAGCTGCCTTCTGCGTTTATTCGTGCCCCACATTCTATAAATTGATGGACTATAGTTGAGTCAGATAGCAAGCATAAGAAGAGCATAAGACGAACTTACCTATCGTGTGATGTCGACTGTAGAAGGACAGAGCCTGGAAAAGACGAACTAGATTTTGAAAAAGGGGGAAAGGTTGCACTTTGTCATTTGTTTTACCTGAGCCGATGAAATAACGACAGCAAGCAGTAATACAGCAATCTGCACCATTAGAACCTGAAACAGGAATGCGTCAGGGGAATAGACTGATAGCTTTTAGCGACGTATGTGAATCCTCGAAAATGTCACAAAAAGTTGAAACAATTATAGGATCGTTAGGGGCTCACTACACTTTTTTTTCAAGATGTAAGAAATCAAATGACGAAGAAAGAGAGACATGTTAGGTAGAATGAGTGAGCAATCATGGTAACCATGTAGGCTTGATGCATTTGGCTTCATCCGAACATCCAGTGTCAAATTGTTGTACCAGGATTTGCTAAACACCCACCAGTAGTACAACCTTATAGAGAAGCTACATCTACCGACGAAGTCAAGACCAATTACTGATAAATAAACAGAATCTACGTCGACGGCTGTATTGGTATCAAAGGCAGCAAGTTAATATCCCGAGGGAACACTTAATTACACGATACGATAGCCATGGACTAGATTCAAAGATACAAGATTTGTCGATTTTCACAAATCATTGCATGAAATTTTCGTCAACTCAATAAAAGCGTAGGCGGAGCAAACATGATACGCAGTGTAGAAATAATAGCATCTTTTGGCATAATCTAGTTATGGTCCATCTAGCGAATTCGTTCAAAAGACAAAGCGAATTTTTTTCAAAAATCTATAACCAGGCTAAAACGCTAGGAAGAAACATTCATGAAGGATATGTGCATTGAATTACAGGAATTGTAAACACTACCGTTAGATAAATAAAGTTATGATCAGTTCGGGACAAAGATGACTAGCAGAAAAATTTTTTACAGCTTCGAAGCAGACTGCTATCAAAGTACCAGGCTTGAGTCAAATGCACAAGAAGATTAGGCAGCTCAGACATTTTTGATTTCAAAAGGATTTCCTCGAGCTGGATATAATCGGGATATAATCGGAAAGACTTCTTGTGTTTCAGCTCAGGCTGCTCTGATTCTATTTTTATATGTGAGGTGATATCATAAGACGATCAAATTTAGTACATACTTTTTTGCGGCAGTAGTGATTACGGAAGACACCGATAATCATTTCGGTGTCTGCAGTAAACATAGATGTTTACTGAAGACAATGGCCATCAATTTTTGAAGCATCTAAGCTTGTACTTTAGAGTTCAGAAGGGGTACAGTATGCTAAGATGACTGAATATATAGAATATTATTAGTCATACATACTACAGTAATCAAAGATATGTCAGAAGATGAAACGAAAATGTGTTATGATTTTGTAGCGAACTATTCATGACAGGAAAACAAACTTATTGCTTTACAGATCCATGGGTAAGAAGAATAAATATATCAGAAGCATGTAGGTATAGATCAGAAGGCTGTGACAGCTTAGATCTCGAGATTAGGTTCTTCATGGGAGTCTCATAAGAGCCTTGGGATTGCAGAGGCGTTAGTGGCGCAGGCATGAGAACTTAGGCTCTAGATTACCGATTTACGGTTAACTGAGTGTTTCTTAACGCAAGAGCGTTTTTCTCCTCAAAATAAAGAAAAATTTCGTAGATAAAAATTGCTAGACATTAGAATTAGCCTCCCAATGAAAACAACGATTTGCTTATATCCCTGAGGATACAAACCATCACTGAAACACCAGAACAATTGACTGGGAATGGGCATAGAAGTGGACGAGAATACATCAAAAGCATGACATCGTTATGCATTCATCCCACACCGTGTACTTCCCAAAATGAATGCAATTTTTTGGATTCTTTCCATCCAACTGACTGAAAATTCAATGCTAGCAAAATGTCGCGTCATTTACATGTAGGAAAGACTCCGAAAAAAATAAAAGAAGCAAATTTGCCATTTTTATCCTCCGCTCTTTGTATCCCAATTCAAACGGTCGAAACTATTTGCATATCATTGAATACTCCAGTAAGAAACCGCGCTCCAAATTTTGACTTACCGCTATCAGCAGAAGCCAAAACCCTAGGCGTAAGTATTGCGCATGTAAAGGCTCAAACTACAGTGGAAGATTGAATTCTAAAAAAAACTTCGGTTTAGTGTGGGGTTAACCACTTCGCCAAATGTGCTTAGGTATGCTTTAGGAGTTTCACAAAATCAAAATTGCAATCAGAGTGGGCGAATGACTGCACGAATTGAATTCAAGGGCAACAAATGAACACGTGGGCGAAAAGTGAGTTCTATCTCAAGATCTCTAGAAGACTCTTATGCAGAAACCGAGCCTACTTAGCACGTCTTCGTACATCTAAAAACTCTAACGGGGTCCCTACGGATCATAAAACTGAACAGATTCGTAGAAGTTGTTCGACCTCTGGCGTTCTGCTTTGTGTTTAAATAATGGCACGCTTTTACTCACAGCTATACATAATAGGTAAATTAAATTAGTTGTCATGTTTTTTTCCAAATTTCCAAAAGCACGATATTACTGAGAAGAAAGGAGTAAGTGCTACTTCACCTGTGTAAATGTCGTTCATATGAGTAATGCCCTCTGCAGACATAAATAGACACTTACTCAGTAGTAATTTCCTTACTTAGAAAAATTATATGTTGAAAATTCACCTTTTGTGATAATAACAGACTGACCTAGGTACAGGACAAGTCCATTTTTAACAAAATGATGGCATTTGAAGTGACGAAAGAAGTAAAGTAACTTTTAACCCTAGTTGCAGTAGGAAATAGATATTCTGCACGATAATCTAAAAAAGTGCAGAACAGAGGTGACTAAGTAGAATATGACGCTATGCAAAACAGCTATCCAGATATATTTTATAAATAATCTTACTTATCTACTGATAAGAGTAAATCTATGAGGATTGATCATCCGCGACCAGCTGATACGATCTCTATATAAACACGGAAGTATAGAAACGATGATGACAAGCTATTTTGAAGTTACGTAGCACAATCTGTTAACTTGTGTATATAGCTAATCATGCGGTATTCAGGCACGGTATCAGATAATAGTTCTATTTTGCTTTGACTTCAGAGAAAATGCGTTAAATTTTCAATTGGTCTCGCAGGTTATAAAAAATAAGACGTATGCAAAGTGAAATCACTCTTGAATGTCTAGTTTACTATCAAACAATCATATCGACCCATATGATTCAAGCGATATCAGCATGACAAAAAGATGAACCAGATATAGTTTGCTTGAGGTTTGTAATACAGGTGCCAGACCATACTACCGAGTAGTTACGAACAGCTTAGCAATTAGTGTGAGTAACATCAACAGCACATCCCCCAAGGCTTCTATCATCTGCAAGCTTGTAATTCTTTGCAGTTTTCAATTTAGAACGTAAAAAATTCAAAAACTCTATGCCACCCACCAGCCACATCAAAGAATTAGAAAAAAGCGGTTGAGAAGATTCTGAGATTCTAACCATTCTAAGGATTCTAACGCAGATTCTAACACATAATGACCATCCCTGAAACATTTTGTTAAGAGTTGCTAGTTGCAAGAGGCCATGACGATTTATTATCTTGGGTTGTTTTCTTTTTTGATTGGCGCATCTCTGAGGTGAGAGCACAACAAAAAAGCAAAATAGATATTTGTGCTTTTTATATTATGGAACCGCATTGTGTGGAATAGAGAGATGAAAGTCAGACACTATTTTTGCTTATTTGCTAAGAAAAAAGCTTATTAAAAGGTCAGTGCACCGGCTTTTAACACTTCAAATGCTCATCAGCGGGAATTATATCAAATCATGTCGGGAAGAAGTAAGCGCTCGATTTCAATCCTAACCGGTGAAGTAGATATATAGACGTAACTGTTATGCAAGTGTATATTTTGGCAAGAAAGCGGTTTCAAAAATGTATCGAAATCTGGTCGCCTCAAAAGGTTAAGTAAAAAGGCTCTAAAAAATGACTTAAAAAAAATACGGACAGTGAACAGATAGCACCACACTTCACTTAGCTTTCATGTAAAAGACTGAACAACAACTTGGTGTGTTTGATATTTTCAAAATGAGTAACGGCTAAAATTGCCTCGAAATACGCGGATTACATTGGCAATCTGCGGATTTGTCGAATGCATGCGCATCTATGACGTGCTTTCTTATGAATGACTCAGTTGATTACTTTGGAGTGAATCTGGAAAGTCTTGGAAAGATTACTGTATGATGGCTATTTTGAGATGCTGATAGGCTTTTACTGATCCCCCAAACTTGCATTCAAGTCACATACTTACTAACTATTGAGAAGCTTCTTTTCTTGAATAAGAAACATTTTTTCACTTAATTTTAATCGTTTAAAATTTCGTACGGCAGCAATTTCCTCATTTGCTCATGTCGAGTTACAATCAAAAACGCAAAATCAAGTACTTAATCGCAGCGCGACTCGATAACGAAGTGGAAATAACTCCGAAAAGCTTTTAGTCAATCTAGCCAGAACAGAAATGAATAGTGCGGGTTGTACCAGTAAAAAAGAGAGCTCTTTGTTCGCGTCTTAGAATGACGTCTTTAGGTCCTCTCCCTCGCAATCCATAACTATTAGTTTATGTAGGATTGCAGATGCTGCAGAAATATTCATTGTCAAACAAAAGGCTTGACCTTTAAGTAATTAGCTTAATTACCTATCCTTCTCCTTCCAATCGCTTTGAAGATAGCTTCCGCAGTGATGTGATTCAGAGATAGGTGTTTTTTCTCTCGAAGTAGGTAGTCTCATATCAAGTATGATTTATTTGGGGCTTGCGCGTAATAAATCGATCAAGATTTACAATACGGTGAAGATCAAATTCTTCGGCTTTGAACGTTGAAACTATAGAGGAAAAGCTTGAATTATTCACTCTGTCAGTAAAGTGAACACCATAAACTGGTCGATTTGAGAAGAACTAGCTATCCAACGTTTTTCTTTGAAGTTCTGTTTTCAGAAGACTGCGGAATTGACCATCTGAGCTAGTGCAAGTTTTCGGCCGACATACTATGAAAGAAGAATCTAGAAATTGGCAAGAAATTTATCCGTTCAACCAAAGGCATTATGCCGCATAGAAAATTTTACGATCTGTACAAATGCGCGAAAAAAAAACTCGATCCAAATCAAATTTGAAACTACT